CCGCGGCCAGCGGCGAGAGGAGCCGGGGAGGGGAGGTGTGAGCGAGGCTTGTGCCGGTACATAACGTTCTGCTGCGAGCACCCACAGGAAAACCAACCAGCAGCCCTGAACGAGGCTCTTTGTTCGGCTCTTTTTTTCATTTTCCCTCCCCTCCCCGCATCAACTTTTTTTTTCTGGCAGCTGCCGGGCTCCCTCCCCCCTGCGCTCCAGCTGCAGGCTCCGAGCGGCCCCCGAGCTCCCGCGACCCCCGGGGTGCTTCCACACCCCCAAGGAGAAATACCCACCGCTGATCTGCAAAGCAAATTCTAGGTTGGCTTGGGAGTTTTCCAGCTGCCAGGGAAAACCTGAGTTTGGAGGAGGGGGAGCGTGGAAGGTTTTTGCCCGTACGGATGCCTCCAGTTCTCCCTGCCTTACATAAAGTGTTTACTGAGCGGGAGGAGGGAACGGCCAACAACATGTTTTTGCATTTGTAGTACTGTACAGGGTGAACTTTTCACTTCCTCTCAATGGCTCTCACACATGTGTCTATTTTGGTGCTGGGCACACATACAAACACACCATGTACAGCACAGAGCTGGGGACGTTCCCTGCTCCTGCTCTGTCCCAGCACAAGGAACTGCTGGAAAACAAGGAATGGGAGGAGGGCGAGGGGGATAAATCTCAGCCCCGCCGTGTTTTGGATCTGGACGGGGAAGTCTGGGCAATGCTTGGGCACTGCATCCCCCGGGCAGAGCTGCAGGCACCGAGCCCCTGGCATCCCAGGAGGGCTGGCAGGGTGGAAAAGTTTCCCAAGTTGAGCAGTGAAAAGGAAAAGCTCTTTCTGTGCCCCACTGTGCTGGGTCAGTGAGTCGGGAGGGAGCGGGTGTGAGTGAGGGGGTTTGGGGGGGAATCCGCCGCTCCATTCCCAAACCCCACGACGATACGAGGTGAGGATTTTCGGCAGGTTTGGCCGAGGTAGATTTAGGTGGCCGGAGTAAGCGGGATTAAAAATAGATGCCACCAAGCAAACAAAAAAGCGGAGGGCTGAAGCGCTCCCTTCTTTCCCATCTGGGATGGAGTTTGAATCCCGCCTGCCGTCACGTTTGGAGCGCTCCTGGCCGCGGAGCCGCTGACTGTGCAGGAGGCCCCCGCAGAGCAGGGCCTGGCAGCCCTCCAAGGCTGGGGAGGAGGTTTTCCGGGCTGGGGCCGGGGCCGGGGCAGCCAGCGTGGGACACTCTCAGCTGAGCTGCAGCCCTGTGTGAGAACATCCCTGCGCCGCTCCGGCAGCCGCGCGGTGAATTTCCACGGGGCTGGAATCGCGCTTCACCTGCGGGTCCGGCAGCGTGGGGCTCTGGATTGCCCAGAGCTGACTCTGGCACTGGAACTGATTTATTAACAGCAACAAACACAGAAGGTGGCTGTATAACTTCCCCCCCTCAGTTTTAGCTAATTGCTGGTGATCTAAAATGGGAACGGATCCCAGTTAATCTGTTTCAATGCACATGTGGCTGGGCTGAAATAGTAAAATATACAATCATCTCGTAAGTAAGATGTTGGAAATGGAAAAATTATGCATCTGGAGCAGTAAATCAAATAACTGCTTGCATACGGTGCCTTGCTCCTACCCCCTGCTGGCCAACAGAGCCATGGGGCGAAGGCTCTCATCCATGGAAAATCAACATGTTGAAACGGTTACGCCAGAACATGGAAATCCAGTTCCCCTCCGAGAACAGAAGTGAAGTACAACCAAAAAACAAGATTATTTAAATGGATGGTTTTAAGCCAGGGTCTTCTCCTCTGGCTGAGTTAAACCAGGATTAAAATCTGACTTAAGTCAAGCCACTTGGTTCGTCTCACATTGAACTTCAGTCTACCACCGTGACAGTCGATCTGCCTCTGAGCTTTGCTAAACCTCCGTAACTCCCCTACAGCCGACTGTTTCATCAGACCAGATAAAGAGTTTCAGAGAAAGAATTATTTTATTGTCAGAAATCTAACACAGAACAAAGAGAACAAAGTTTCAGGGTATTAAAGACAGAGCAGTGTCCCACCAGTGCTATCAGAGAAAGGGTGATGAAAAGGGAATGGCTTGGGCAATGGCCGAGGCACTGCTGGAGGAGGTGACACCGCTTGGCCCCTCACCTGACCCCAGGATAGTTTGTGTCCATCCCCCAGAATGACAGCTGGGGCTGAGGAGTGCTTCTGGAGTTTGCTCCAGAGGGTTTCCCCGCTCACCCAGCGCTCCGGCTGCGCTCCAGCGGGAACCTGGGCCGAGTTACAGGGTCGCCCTACCCGCAGCCACACTGTCCGTGTGCCCTCCTCTGTAAACAATACGAGATTCTCCAAGGGCTGTACAGCTGATCCTGCCTTCTAAGTTACAGAAACCAAGCCCTGCCAGCCTGTAAGGACCTACAGAATCCCCTCATTTCCATTTATTGGCAGCTTTACGGGGGATCCCCACTCTCAAAAAAACCCAAAGCCCCATCCTGGCCGATGAAGCTGTCAGCATCTGATAAATGGGGGGCGTTTTGAAGCCAGGCCAGGGAATGTTTTTCTTCTGCTCCCTGACAGCAGCGATCCAGACACGCTCAGCCTGAGGAGGGAGTGAATCCCAGGAGCTGCTCTATTGGCTTGTACCTCCACTCATCTGCCTCCAGCTCTTCCACCAGACCGGCAAGTTTTTCCATCCTTGCGACTTGTTGATCTGCGAGGAGTTCAAAGGTAACTGCGGTTTGCAATGGCAGTGCAATTAAACCTTTCAATTACATGCAAATTCCCAGCTGTCAGTGGGGAGCAGGGCAGAATAAAACCCACGGAGCCCATTTGAATCCAAACCCACTCTGTGCAAACAGCGAGGAGAAAGCAGGGACAGGCTTTTCTGCCCCAGTGTGTGTTTACCATCCCTGCCCGTGCCATGTACATTCAAGTCCTAACAGGGAAACATCAGGCCCATTAGTGTATGGGGGTGAAAACAGGATGAAGCTCATTTCATAAAGCATAAATATTTATAGTGCAGAAGAACAGAGAAGTTCAGAGAGGGCTTGGTCAGCCCACGGTAGAGCTGGGTGCAGCAGGAGGAACAGTGACTTTGATAAAGGTCCTTGGAGGAGGACCTGGATGAGTGTGGCAGAGAGGCTCTGGTTGCAGAGAGCTAATGAGAGGAAGGTCCCCAGACAGCATCTTCCTCTCAGGTTTATTTATAACCAGTCGGGTGTTGGGCACACATTTGCAGTTAAATGTGCTGCAGTAGTGCAGAGATGGGAATATCCCTTCTCCCAGCTCTGCTGGAAGTCTTAACAGTGCTGTAAGCTCACTGCAGCCTCCTGGAGAGACAGCCCAGGGCTAGCAAGAGGCGCAACATAAACCGAGTGTGATTTATGCTGACTGCAGCAGTGGGTGCTTTTAAGAGGGACTGTTCTCACTCCACCTCCTGCACCCTTTTGGGAACTGTCAAACAAACAAGCCAAAAATTGATGACCTCAATCTTTTTTTTTTTTTTTTTAAGCCCTTCACCTTTCTTACAGGGAGAAAACAGGGAGGTGCTCCACAGTTCCAAAGGCTGGTGTTTATCGGGGTGCCAGGCTGTGTAGCAGCCCCTGGTAGCTACAGCCACAGCAGAGCTGTGGAAACAATGGCTCTGGAGCTCAGCTTTGCTTTCTGGTGCAGAAATACAGGATCAGGGCCTTGCAAGCTGCTGCACGCCCCAACAACCGGAGTAGGACAGGAAACCTCTCCGCTCAGAGACAACAGGTGGAAGTACCATTCTGGCTGACAAGAGGCGGGGACCAGAAAGGATGTGACCCTCAAGCAGCAGACAGGATCTGCTGCTGGGCTCTGTGAGAACCAAAGCTGTGACGCAGCCAAGCCCATTGCTGGGTCACAGGCACCTGGGTGAGGGCAAAGGGCCCGGCAGGGAAGCAGAGGTTCAAACAGGATGTCAGGCTGTTCCCTGGGGAGGCAGGGAGTGGACTCAGCCCTGTCACGCCACGCCACGCCACGCCACGCGTGGCCACCTCCCTCCCGAGTGCCTCGGGAAACCTCACTTGACCCTGCCAGGGCCACAAGGGCTCAGCAGAGAAACAAAGGTGGAATGGAGCGTCTCTCTGCCCCAGGCCAGAGAGACAGTCAGTGCTGGGCCGAGATCAGAGCGTGGGCGTTTCCTGCCCAGAACCTCCTCCTCCGGCCTCACCTTGCGCTGCCACACAGCCATGGAAAAACAAGCTTTGGGAGGCACAGCCCGTTCCCACCCAGCCTCTGTGGGCTCCCAGCGCTTTGCATAGGGCTTGCAAAAGGACTCAGTGGTGGCCAGACTTAGCATTCACTCTGCTTTCTTGTGGCTGGCACCTGAGAGCAGCTCAGGCTTTGCTCCCACCACCCTCCCCAAGCCACACGCGGCCGGCGCTCGGCGCTTACCATGCTTCACTTGCTTTAACGTCGATGCAACCTGAAAGCTGAACACAGACTCGCAGAGGAACCTCTCAGAGCCATCTGTAAACAGAAAAAGGAGATGGCTGAACCCCAGAGTTTGAGGCTGAGCAGCCTTCAGTGCGCCTGACCTCCTATTTTTCAGTTTGAGGTGTGGGTTCCCCTTGCCTTGTTCCGACACTTTCCCTGGTGCTGAGTGCAGCTCCTGTGACTCTGCACAGGGCTTTGGCTGGTTCCTGATCCTAGGTGGAATTTTGTTACATACCCTCTGAGAAGCAATTTTAGTCCATTTTAAATAGAAGTTAAACTAAGGAGAAGTCAGGTAATGTTATGGAAGTCTCTGATTCCCTCAGGGCTCAGACGCTTGTGTCCTTAGAATGCTTTAGGATTTCCCACGGGCTCAGACCATAACCCTACATAGAGTTTCAAATAATGTGTATCCAAGTCAGTAATTGATCACACAAGTGACTCAGAAATAAAGCAATCTGGAAAACATGGCTAATCATGTACCAAGCACTGACATAGTTTATACTGCCTCCTTCTAAAAAACCCCCAAATACCTATGGGTTTATTTAGAAATAAGTGAGATAGTTAAAGTAGTAATAAAAATCAGGCAGTCGGTGTGAATTTGTGAAGAGGAAACTGCACAGGCACTGGTAGCTGCCTGATGAAAGAATGGGTGTATCACCTTTGGTGTCAGAAATTAAAAAGCCAAGCTAGAGCTTCCTGCAGCAGGGACAGTGTTTGGTTCTTCCTGCCACCCAGGAACTGCTGTGTTCCTGGTAAAGAGGACAGCCTAAAGGACAATCCATTTAAAGCTCTGTGCCAGAACAATGTGGAGAGCAGTTTCAAAGACAAAACTCTGGAAAAATCTAATCCAAAGCTGAACCCCAGGGAAGAGCTGGAATTTCACTGTGCTCCGAGCTTCCTCTCACAAGTGCTGCCCCAAATGCATCGTGGAGACATCAGCAATAATTTTTTCACGGAAAAATATTGGAAGGGGCTGTCCAGGTAGGTGGTGGAGTCACTGTCCCTGGAGGTGTGCAAGGAACAACTGGACGTGGCACTCAGTGCTCTGGTGCTGTTGATAAAGTGGGGATTGGTCACAGGATGGACTCAATGGTCTTGGAGGCCTTTTCCAACCGAAATGTTGGATTCTCTCCTCCAGCTCCCTGTCTGTCCTGCCGAGTGGCTGTCGGGAGGAACAGCTGCCTGTCTATTTGGTAACACAAAGTGCTTCATTACTTTAATTTGTTTTGAGGGCTCGTTAAGTTCTGTGAGCAAACCTTTAGTCATAATTACTTCAATAGCCTGGCATATGGGCTCTAATATGTAATAAAAACAACCCTTCAACGGCGCAGCCATCAGTTCCCAGCTGCCCCATAGGGACACTCCAGCGTCGCTCCCAGCCATCCCATGGTGACAAGGGAAGTTCAAGGGGAGCAGACAGACTCTGATTTAACCCTGTCACCCAGAGGACCTGCCCTTCCTCCCTCACCCAGGGCTTGCTGGGCTTCTCCTTCCTCAATCCCAACAAAGACGGTGGTAGAGCTTGGACACCCAGACACAAGCTGGCAGGGAGACAAGCTGCCTCCTGGACTAACCCGGTCAAATCCAACCCAAACCATGAAAATTACTACTTCTGCCAAGAAAAATACTCCTGTCTCAGCTATCCTCGCAGTAATCCCTGCCTGACATCAAAGGATTAGCTAACAATGAGCAATTAACAGAGTCATGTTCCCTTTCAGGTAGATGCTTCCTGGTCTGAAGTGTTGTCATGGAGCTAAAAAGCAGGTGACTGCCAGAAAAATCACTTCCTCATGAACAACTGGTGGGAAAGCCGGGACCAACCAAGCCCTGGTGCTCCCTTTCTACCTCCAGCTTTTGCCAGTGGGGTGTGAAGTTCAGCAGCTTGGAGGAGGAGTGGGGAAGGAGAAGAGCAGGAACAATCACCTTCCAGCATCTCCCCGGCTCCTTTGGGATAAGTGAAGAGAGCTTTCCGGGGCGGCGCCAGGTCCGAAACGCTGAACCCCGACCCTGTCACGGAACTGCCACTGACTCCACCGGCCGAGGAGGACGAGGAGGAGGCTGCCATTGCACCCCGGCCCAGCCTGGGAGGACAAAGAGCAGAGCCTGAGTTAGGAAGGGCGTCTCAGAGTTCCCCAGCGGCGATGCGTCTCTGAGGATGGATGAAGGCAGTGAGGGGCAGGATGAAGTCGCCTCCGCTGCCCCAAAGCGTCCAGGTTGCTCTGTGTGTGCGGGAGAGCTGCCTGTGCCCACTGTGGGGATGGGCACAGAGCTGTCACACCCCAAAACTGAAGGTAACCCCCATTCCAGCCCCTCAGAATTCCCCTGGGAATTAATCCAGAGCATGCACAAAAATAACAAGGTACAGGTTGCTGGCCTGAATTCACTAGCCTTTAGCTGCCCTGGCGCTTGTCCCGCTCCTCAGGGTCATAAAAGGCGGGGTTTCTTTCCTTTTCTTTCCCCCATGTTTCCAGGAGCACAAACACAGGAGCTCTGCTGCCTCATAAAACCTGGAAGGTTGCAGGACTGCCAGTTCCAGCACCGCATCCTGCACGGAGCCACGCCGTGCCTAACTTGCAGCAGCTGCTTTCTGCATCACTCCAGACGTGCTTGTGCCTTTTGAAACACTGTATTTGACTTAAACTGGCGATGCCTGAGGATCCATCAGCCTGTGCAGCACAATTCCAGATGCCTCTTGTATGCTCTCGTCTCAGCCTTGTTTTTAAGAGGTACTGGGTTTGTCACGACATGGGACTTAAAACTCGTCATGTCCCTCTCTGATATAAAAAAGGTGTCACTTGGCCCTTATCAGTGACAGCACTTGCTGTTCCTCCAAATACTTATAAGCACTTCCAAATGATCCTGCCCATTTAATTCATTTCTGTTATCGTATTTAGTACACTTCTGCAGGCTCTGTAGAGTACACAGACAGCGCCCTTGGGAAGCACTCGAGCGTTTTGTGGAGAAAAGGGGGTTTTAAAGCCTTAAAGCTTATCTTATTTCACCCCTTTCCATGGGCAGGGACACCTTCCACTATCCCAGGTGGCTCCAAGCCCTGTCCATCCTGGCCTAGGACACTTCCAGGGATCCAGGGGCAGCCACAGCTTCTGTGGACACACTGTGCCCCTTCTCAGGGGCTCACAGGGAATAATTTCTTCCCAATATCCCACCCAACCTCTGTCAGCGGGAAGCCGTTCCCTTTGTCCTGTTCCTCCCTCCCCTGTAGGATTCCCAAGAGCGCTCAAGGTTACTGTAACACAGAAAACAGCGGCTCACAGGAGGCTGGGGGCTTACGGGCCATGAATAAAAATGCTTGCATAAAACGAACTTTTATTTTTGCTATGCTACACCCGGCAACACCTCCCTCAGCAAACCCTCAGGGCTCAGCACCCTGCTCGCAAGAGAAGTGCAACGATTTGCGCTGAAACGATGCCAGCCGGGGCTCGCAGACCCGACAGATTCCTAAGTGTGGCTGCAGGGGGTTTATTTTAAACAAACACGGAGGAGAGGAGGCGGCAGGTCAGGGCGATGCCTGGGCCTGTTACAGGAACCTCCAGCCAACGCCTCAGGCACCTCACGAGCCGCCATCTTGGCGGGGGGGGGAGCCCCACCGCCCGCGCTCCCGCCCCATCAGAGGCCACGCCCCTCCACAGGCCACGCCCCGTTGCCGGTGGCAACGCCCCATCACTGGCCACGCCTCCGCCACCGCCCTCCCGCCCATGGCCCCTCCGAGTCGCTTCCCGGTGAGTGCGGAGCCCAC